TCCCGACTTGCACCAGAAAGGCGACGGAGGCGGTCACGCACATCACCCACACACCATCGTCATCCCAGCATGGAGGACTTGGAAAGGGTTATGTTGCGGAGAAGGAGCCTCGTTTTGAAGATGCAGTCGTGTTATGGTGAACTAGCGAGTCTCGGGATCAGCTACACTCGAGACTCCATCCTTCCACTTTCGCAGGTTCACGTTCCTAACTGAAAAAAAAATCCAACATCACACACACACACACACACAAGTACCAACACACATATGCACATACAGCTGCCCTCCCCCCCCCCCCCGGCTCTCTTCCTCTCTGTCAAAACAACCTCCTCATGGACAACAACATCGTTTGTTCTTCTTCAACGCAAACCGTGTTTACTTGCTTGCAGCTACTTTCTGCTGTGTCTTCCCAGCGAGGATGAAAGCGACAGCGAAGCAGAGCACAGCCCCCTCCCGGGCTGGACACACACGCCACAGCCCAGCCAGGTACTCCAGCAACGACAACAACATCAACGACAGAAGCAACAGCAGGGCGCTCGCTATCATGGCTTAACCACAGATGATGATGATGATGATGACGACGATGAGATTCACGCACATGAGGAGGATGACAGCGACGAAGCAGGTGGTGGTGATGGTGGTGGTGATGGTGGTCATGGAGATGACGAAGACAACAACACCAACGACGACGACAACACCAACAACAACGACAACAACACCAACGACGACAACAACAACAACAACGACGACGACAACACCAACAACGACGACAACAACACCAACAACAACCGCGGCAGCAACGGCACCGAGGATAAGGAGGACGAGTACGATGACGGCGTTGTGCTGCTCACGTGTGACCTGGACCAGATCACACCGTTTGTGGTCGACACGGCCGGCACACCAACACGCATCACACGGTCGCAGTCGTTTCTCTCCTTCTTTGAAGCTGAGCGGGAGGAGCTTGAGGCATCTGGTGACGACGAAGATGGCGATGGTGGTGACAAGGGAGGAGGTGGTGGGGTGCAGCAGCCGCAGGTGAGCGCTGGTTACGGCTTCCAGGAAGAGCTGTTGAGGCGGACAACACCTATTGGCAGCGAGGACGCAGAGGTTGGCGACTCATCTGACAACGCCCTTGCCAATACAGACATGGCAACGACAGGAGCGACTGCACCAGCATCATCAGATACGACGACGACGACGACGACGACGACGACGACGACGACGGTACAGCCGGGCGCACACATAACCGCCGCCGCCACCACCACCACCGCCACAGGTGCAGCAGCACCAACAGCAGCGGAGCTACTGCTCAACACACAGTCGACGCTGGCTGCCCCGGTGGGGCTGAGCGCAAGCGGGAAACTGACAATCGCCAGTCCCCAGAGAGCAGCAGTGCAACAGCAGCAACAACAACAACAGCAGCAGCGACAACAACAAGCACAGCAGGAGCAAGCACAGCAGCGGCAGGAGCGCCGTGGTGGTGACAGTCGATACGTTCGCCAACGCCGAGGCAGCGGTGCTCCAGGTGGCGGCGATGCGGTGAACGTGTTTGTGTCCAGCGCCAGCGCCAGCGAGAGCGAGTGGGCGGTCTCGTTCGAGCAGGCGAAGCAGCGGCTGCGCAGCGGTTGCGTATCGGGCACGCGCACGCGCACGCAGAGCGAACGGCTGGAGCGGTCATCACTCCGTCATGCGGCGAGTGCTGACGTCGACGTGCTGTTCGCTGGCCCCGGGAGCACAAGCAGCCTTGATGACCCGCTCTCCACGGATGGGCAGGGCAGCAGTGGGGAGGATGAGGAGATGATGGAGGCAAAGGTGACGAAGGGCAGGACAAGGGACCAACGTCATGTTGATGACGATGGTGATGACGATGGTGGTGACGGTGCACGGCTGTTGGATGTGCTGCCAAGGACAGACAGCGGAGAGTACAGCTTGCCGCCATCTGCTGCCGGCGCATTCACCCGCGCAGTGAAACGCAATACGAAGCCACAACCGTCTCAACACTCACAGGGGCAACGAGAGCAACGAGGACACCCCGGTCAAGGAGAGCAGCAACGGCGTGACAGGAAGCAGAAGAAAGGACGGAAGGGAAGGAGGGCCAAGGGGCTTCGGCGGAGCAGGGAGCAAGGTGACGGTGATGAGGCAGCTCCACGCGTGACCATGTTTGTGCAAGACAGCGAAGGTACCGACACGGACAACGGCAGTGGCAAGGAGGATGTGTTTGTGAGCGGCGGTGATCGGACTGGAAACCGCGCTGGAGTCAATGTGCAACACGGTGCAGGGGCGAGGGAAAGGCAGCAGCAAGGCACCATCACGACCACAAGCACGAGCACAAAAACAACACCAACAGCAACAACAATGACGGCAATGGCTGTGGTGGTGAGCAGCAGCGCTGAGGAGCACGGCGATGTGAGAGCAACACGAAGAGAAGGCAAAGCGAAAGCACCAAACCAGACGGCAACGGCGAACACAACGACCATTGGCGTCAACACTGGACTATCGCTGCTTCACCGCACACCTGAACCCGGTACACCCGCTCACCCCCGAAATGGCGGTGGTGGTGGGGGCAGCGGCGGTCGTGATGACGATGGTGCTACTGATGGTGTGCGCAGCATTGATGGGGATTTGCTTCTGAGCGGTGATGAAGACGCTGATGGGGCCGAAGATGGTGGCGTTGAGCGCACGCGGCGTGGTGGTGCTCGTGGTCGTGATCGTGGTGGTGCTCGTGGTGGCGGCAGTGGCGGTGGCGGCGGCAGTGGTGATCGTGGTCATGATGGTGGGGATGTGACCACGGGTGCAACGACTAAGCAGGGCAGACGGCTTGACTGGAGCATGGCGCTGTTTACAGACGAGAGCATGACAGAGCGGGAGCGCGAGCATGTTGAACAACACGAGCACAGCAAGAGCCTGGCCTTCTTTGCACAGCTGCGCTCGCTGCTTCCCTCTGGTGAGGAAGCAATTGCACGCCGGGAGAGGGAAGGTGGTACTGGGGCGAAGGCCGAAAAGCCGAAGCGCAAGGAGCCGCGGTACACACACGGCACGGACAAGTGGTTGGGGAAGAAGTTCTACTTTGGAACGGACCATCCATCCGAGGACGAATTGCGCAAGAAGGAGGACTTGGCAGCGCAGGCGCGCGACACGAACCGGCGCAATCGCCAGCGCCAGCAGTCTGTGCGCCGCAGCCGCAGCCAAGACGACCTGTCCTCCCACACGGAGGGCGATGAACAGGACTTGGTGTCGTGGGCACGCGCGCACAACGCGGTCACCACGTCAGATGACGACGACGACGATGATCATGATGATCGCGAAGATCTTGGTGATGGTTTCGGGGATGTGTTGCTGCCGTCAGGCCGTGTGTCTGCTGCCTCAACGTTTTCCACAGCATCGTCGAGCGAAGGCAGTGGTGGTGGTGGTGGTGGTGGTGGCGATGGGGCGTCCAGGGAGACACGGCAGCGCACGCGACGAAAGGCGAAGAACAAGAACAAGAAGAAGAGGAAGAAACAGAAACGCTCGCGAGGGAAGACAGAGGCAGCAACAACGGCAGCAGTGACAGCAACAGCAGCAAGAAGAAGAACAAAGACAGAAGAGGTGAAGGGTGATGATGCGACTCCGGCTGCGGCTTGCAATGCCGAGAAAGGGCAGAAGAAGGCGGTGGTCACGCGCGTTGCTGGCACACAGACGAGCATTTTCCTGCAGTATCCACACTACTTTATCACTGACTATCTGGACACGGAGGAGCTGGCGCTGCGGCCCTTTGTTCCGGGCCTGCAACCCGCTGGGCCTGACTTGCTATCGCTGACGGCATACCGCTCCATGGTGTATGCGGAGCACGCGGGGGGAGGACTGCTTGTCCCAACCACGGAGGACCTACTCGACATGTTTCCGCCAAAGGCCCGCAAGGTATTGTGTGTGTGTGGGGTGGGGGGGGGTGTGTCGTTGTGTGTGGGTGGGGGGGGGTGTGCGTGTGTGTACATGTATGTGTGTATGTGTGTGCGTGTGTGTGCGTGTGCGTGTGTGTGTGCGTGTGCGTGTGTGTGTACGTGTGTGTTCGTGTGTGTTCGTGTGTGTTCGTGTGTGTATGTGTGCGTGTGTGTGTACGTGTGTGTACGTGTCTGCATGTCGAATACTGGGGGCTGCTTGTTTGTGAATGTTTGCGTGCCAAAGCAGGTGTCTGTCGGCCACATTTCCCGCCTCTCCATCGTGAACACAATGCCCAATTCATCCCACCCATGGCATCAAATCCCATCAATCTCACTCATTCCACCACTTCCTCCCCTTCTCCCCCCGTCCTCTTAACTGCAGGCATTGGCTCGGACGGGAGCGACGACGTCGCACCACCTGCTGCTCGCCTTCTGCCGGCTGTGCCCGTACATGGACGGTACACACACGGTGGAGGAGGTGATGCGTCTGGAGGGCATGTCGCACACACTCATGTACCAGGTCCTCAGCGGATTCAGGGAATTTATCACCCAGGTCGACTACTGACGTGGCTGCCTGGGCGTGTACGTGTTTGTTTGTTTGTTTGTTTGTTTGTTTGTTTGTTTGTTTGTTTGTTTGTTTGTTTGTTTGTTTGTTTGTTTGTTTGTTTGTTTGTTTGTTTGTTTGTCTGTTTGTTTGTCTGTTTGTTTGTTTGTTTGTTTGTTCGTTCGTTCGTTCGTTCGTTTGTGTGTCTGTGTGTGTTTGTGTGTCTGTGTCTGTGTGTGCGTCTGTGTCTGTGTGTGCGTCTGTGTCTGTGTGCGTGTGTGTATGTGCCTCTGTGTGTGTGTGTGTGTGTGTGTGTGTGTGTGTGTGTGTGTGTCTGAACTGCCGTCCTCTCCGCTCTTCCCCCCCCCCAACACTGCCTCTCCCGTCTCGCATTCATTCATGGCTGCCCAACCACTTGTATTTCAATCTATCGCTGTGACGTGGTGAATACAAGCAAAGCTATTGTGACAAAAGATGTGACGCAACGTGTGCGCATGTGTGCAATATGAACAAAGGAAAGAATGACATCACAAGACAATCAAATGCGATTTCCGTGACAGGAAGCGAGTGGTTGCCGTCTCATTGCATCCAGGGTCTGCAACCATCCTCGGCAACTTACGTGATGGTCAGCACAGTCAACACACGAACCGCGTGGTGGAAAAGCACAAGAGCTCATCGGTGAAAGGAGGCTGAAGCTGAAGCCATCGAACGTGCTGTTGTTGTTGTTGTTCTCGCAGAGTGGCGATGTGTGGAGGTCACGTGCGAGGGCATATGCGACGACGACGCCGAGTTGCGCTCACTGGAAAGTGTGGCGAGGTGTTCCAGCGCAGACGGCGAATAGTACGCAGACACTGCGAACGAGTACGACCGCTCTGTTGTAGTGTATGTGTGAATATGGGTGTGCGTGTGTGTGTGTGTGTGCGTGCATGTGTGGGTATGTGTGTGTGCGTGCATGTGTGTTACAGTGTTGCGCAAGTCGCCATTAGCATCTCACGCTTCAGCACACAATCGCTAGTTCCAAAACACCAAATACGTTGTCAGCAGATCAAACACGCAACTGTGTGTGTGTGTGTTGCAAATAGAATTACGCCAACAGAACCAAGCATACCTGCTGATGACGGCAGGTGGAACATGTATGCTGGTCGAATGGGTGCAGCCGCCGGTTTGGGTTTGAAACTTGAAACACGCGGCACGCGTGTGCCGTACGTCTTGTTCAAGCGCAGGCCCTGATATGTACTCATCATCCTGATGATATGGCGGCAGTGGCAGTGACAGTGGTGATGAGCACGTGTGAAGGTGGGGGTGGCTCATGGTGGTCGTAGATAAGTGGTTGATTGTCATGTCATCTTGATGGCGTGTGGATGAATTGGTGTCGGTGTTCATGTGCGTGTGTGCGTGTGTGGAATCATGCGTGTGCGTATGCGTGCGGTCATATGCACAAGTGTACGTGGCAACTAACTGTGGTGTCCAGGGCCGCAAGCGCACACGCTCCTCTCGCTCGCGCCGCTTCTGTTCCGCAAGCTTCTTCCTCAGGTACTACAGCGGGCCCACCCATTGGCGTTATGAGGCAGCGGGTGCAATGGTGAGATTTCGAATTTGCAGCGAAGACACAATCACGAACACCACACCTGTACACACGAACGTGAGGCACAAGCACACGCACAGGCATGCGCACAAGCACACGTACAAGCACACACACAAGCACACGTACACATGTGTGCACAGAACGATGCAACCACAACCAACACAACACATACAACGCAATGCACACAAACAACAACACACCACAGACACCACAATGCAATGCGAAACAAAATCACAACACAACGCAATGCACTGCACCCGTTGCACAGCCGACGGCCGCTTACCCGGCGCCACCAGAGCTGGATGGTGAGAGCAGCAACCTCACGCATGGTCTGTGTCGGGGGTTGCTGCTGTGGCCTCCGCCGTAGTGTTGTCTTCATTCGTTCATCGCCTCCAGCATTCTCGCCGCTGCCACTGCTGCTGCCACGACGGATTGTGCTCAATGATGATGGTGGCGGTAGTGGTTTGCGCGTTGCCGTTGGTTGCGCTTCGAGCCATGCAGACATTTTCCGCTCAAGATCACGTCGCTTCAAGTATCTGATGCATAATGGTGGTGGTGGTGGTGGTGGTGGTGGTGGTGTATGGTGAGTGTTGCGGGTGACCTTGGTGAGTGTTGATGTACAATGTGCGCGCACATACGTTGTCATAATCAGGCACGACGATGTGTATGATGTGCAATGTGTGCGCGCACATACGTTGTCATAATCAGGCACGACGACGTGTGCTGTGCGATACGAGTAAACCAACACTTCAAACGCGCCAACACCCCAACCACTGCAATGTTCAAACACTCAAAAAGTGCGCTGCACCTCTTGAATGAGCGCTGAATGGTGATGGCGGCGTCCGTTGTTCGTCTGATCCGCTGTGCTCTCGTCGCGTCTGCACGACATCGTCCAGCGACGCTGTTGAAACGATGCACAAACTGCTCCTTCAGCGACACACGAGACACCGCTGTGTCTGCGCTCTCGCTTGCGCTGTGGTTGTGGCAGTGGCAATGATGGAAGGACAATGGTGAGAGGTTGGTGTGATGTGGTGTTGTCATTTGCAGTCGTGTTGATGATGGTGGTGATGACAACGGCGCTGATGCGAGGCACGCGGGGACACGAAACGACAAAACGCAAACGCAGCGCCAAGTACATACGTCTGCAAGCAACGCTGCTGGAAGCAACCAATCACACTCACAGCAAGCATCACCGCTCCAACCCCTCTTCATGCTCACTCCATTTCAGACATATCCACAGGTCAACTCACGCCTCCAGTTGTGCGCGCATCTTGCGTCTGTCCTGCTCCTCCAAATGCCGACGCGCCGAAGCCGACATGGGGCGCGATGGCAGAAGACTGCTGCTGCTGTCACTGTTGATGTTGCCGTTGCTGTCACTGTTGCCGTCACTGTTGTTGCTGTTGTTGCTGCTATTGCTGCTGTTGCTGTTGTCTTTCTCATCAAGGTTCCCGTTGTCGCTGTGGTTTGGGCTGGTAGTGGTTGCAGTCTCACCATCTTCATCGCTGTTGTTCACCTCAGCGGAAGAGGAGTCGTTGTTGCTTTGATTTTGCTGCGTCGGGTCATTATCGCCTCCATCGCTCCCTGCGCTCTTATGACCCTTCTGCTGTCTCCCATCGCCACCACCATCGCCATGGCCATCACTGTTGGTATTCTGCTGTCCGCCATTGCTCACGTTCCCTTCGTCATCACCATTTTGTTCGCCAGCAACGTCTCTGGTCTCCTTTGCATATGCATCCACATCTGTCGCATCAACCTTCCCTTCTTTCTTCTCTCCCTCCTTCCCCTCTGCCTCCTCCACCTCCACCGCTTTCTTCTTTCCCTCCTCTCCTTCCCCCCGTTCCACCGTCTTCTCGTCCACATCCGTGTCCTCTTCTTTCTTCTCCCCGCTGTTCGCCCCTCTGTCTTTGCGTGCCAGCACGCGTGCCTGTGCGCGCCGCCACCACTGCTGTATCATCCTCGCTGCCCAGGGCTTGAGTTCGCCAATGGTCTGCCCGCCGTACAGACGAAGGTAGTCCACCAGCGCCTCCCGAACACCGCTGTCCTCAACAGCAAGCACGTAGTCGAGTGGGGTGCGGTTGTATCCAAGCTCCATCGCGTTCACCTTCGCACCCCGCTCAACCAGCAGCTACGTCGAAATGGGCAGGGGGAAGTGTCAAGTTGTATGCATGAGTAAGACATGCCTGAAATGCGTGACGCGTACACACACACACACAAAAGAAAACACACACGCACACACACACACAAGCACTCACACACGCACACACGCACACGCACACACACACACAAGCACTCACAGATGTACACGCGTGCACATACAAGCACGAGCAGCTTCATCAAACCACCATACAAATGTATGCACGCGTGCATATATACACACACACTCTCTCTCCACTCCACCCCACCCATCCCCTCCCTTCCCCAAACGCGTGTGAAGGAGTGGGTCAGTTCTCGCCCACCTCAATGACGGGTCCGTGTCCTGCAGAGCATGCCCAGTGCAAGGCCGTCACGCCCTCCGTGTCGTGCGCGTGAATATCGGCGCCGCTGTCCAGAAGAGCGCGAATTACATCCACGTGTCCGTGGAACGCCGCATACTGCAGCGGGGTGCGCCTGACGTGGGCGGACACGTGTGTGTATGTGTGTGTGTGTGAGTTTGGTGTGTGTGCGTGTGTGTGTTTGTGTGGGGGGGGGTGGTGTGTGTGAGTTTGGTGTGTGTGTGTGTGTGTGTGAGTTTGGTGTGTGTGTGTCTATATGTATGTGCATGAGGGTTGTTGAGACGTGTTGTGTGTGTGTGTGTGTATGTGTGTGTTCGTGTTGATATTTCGAAGATGTCGGTGACCAGCGCCACCAGCAAAGCAAACACGTGTGCGCACACATGCACACACATGTGCCCACACATGCACTCTGCATCTCACCCAAACTTGTCGTGGACGTTAAAGTCCGCGTGGTGTGAGTGCAACAGTGTTGTGATGGCAACAGAGCCCGTGATAGCCGCCCTGCACACACGTGTGTGTATGTGCGTGAGTGTACGTGCGTGTGTGTGTACGTGTGTGTATGTATGTTCACACACGCGCGACCAAGCGCACATGGTCGTTTGAATGGAGGGTGACCTCGTTCGAGAGGCGTGATGCAGCCATACACTAGTCGTCAACAGAGGCGCGTGCAATGCTCATTTACTTGATGCTTACCAGTGCACAAGCGTGCGGCCTTCAACATCGCCCGTCGTGACAGTTGCTCCAGCTGCACTCAAGCACACGCAAGCAAACACGCACACACGTGAGTGTTCACAAGCACGCGGATAAATGAGAATACCTGAGACCAGGGGCGACATGCAATACTCCAACTCACACCCGCACACAAGAATCCAGTCAGCTCGCAACATGCGCATTGCCACCACCACCACCACCAACAACAACAACAACAACCACTACTACAATGCTCGGCAACCTCGCAGATGATCACACCTTTCAACAGCACTTCGCAGGCCTCCGTTTGTGTGTTTGTACACGCATATAGCAGTGGTGTGTTTCCCTCTGTGTCGCGAACGTCGACACGTGCACCAGCCTAACCAACGACACACACACACATGTGTAGGCACAGACAAGCATAGAGACTCTTGTGTGAGTCTGTCGCGACCTGCTGACATGACACAAGATTATCGCCAACACCACCACTCATCACCGCATCCACCTCCACCACCACCACCACCACCACCAAACACAAGCACACCTTGATGAGGCGGGAGCACATGTCTGTGTGTCCCTCGTGTGCGGCCATGTGCAGTGCGGTGTGGCCGTCGTGGTTCTGGATGTCAACCAGTCCTCCGTTTGACAGCAGCACTTCTGCAGCGGCCGTGTGGCCTGGATCACGAGCACAGCAGTCAACACCACGAGCACACCAGCCATGGCAAGAAGGCATGGGTGATGAGTTGCATGAGTTTGCGCACAACGGCACGACATGACATGTGCGCGCGTGGGCAGAGGAATACGTGCATAATGATACAAATGCGACACACGGATGGGAACATGCCGTACGCCCTCCTTTGTTACTTACACACACGCACACACACAGAGGGTGCTCGTGTACCTTGTGCAGCTGCGAGAAAGAGAGGGGTGCGGCCTTCCCCGTCAATGGCATTGATATCCACTCCCAGCTGCACCAACACCTCCAGGCAGCCCACGTCCCCTTGCACCTGTCACGAAAGAGCAGTGGCATGGAGTGGCAGGTGTTGTGCTGTAGTGAGGAGGACGTTGTATCTTTGTATCGACAGTCAGCATTGCTACTCGCATGAGTAGCGTGGATGACAGCGTAAACCGCACATTGCCATCCGCCTTGTCATGGTGCTCTCATCATCTCAGTTCAACACACCACCACAGCTACAACCACCACAACCACGACCACCACAACTACGACTACAACCGCAACTACGACCACCGCAATTACGACCACCATCACCAATTGGTGCTCACCGCCATGTGCACGGGCTGCATGCCATGGATATCGCCCTCGCTCGCGTTGCCGCCATATTGCAGCAGCTGCTGCAGCACGCTGCTGTTGCCTGTGGGTCGCCGTGACACGATATGCGATGTTAAATCCACGCGGCGAGACACACACACATACGCACATTCACACACACACACACATACGCACATTCACACACACGCACATTCACACACGCACATGCAGACCCCCCAAGGTCGACTTCTTTCCAGCATCCCTCCATGCTCCACCCTTTGAAAGTTCACTGCACGTGTGTCAGTGTACCTGCAAGCGTGGCCCAATGAACGCATGTACGGCGATCTGTGTCCGCCAGAGAGAAGTTACAGCGCCGCGACGACAACTGTGATGCGCACACGATGTTGTGAACGTGATAGCAGCAGTGACGGTGACGATTGTCCGCATGTGAGTGAGAGTGAAAAAGAGGGAGAGTTCATGGCATCTACCATGTCAACAATGGGTGTGAGCATGCAACGATTTCCAGACACGTACACACACAAATACAGCAACATGTGCACCCAAACGCAACAGCAACATGTGCACCCAAACGCAACAACAACATATGCACAGTTGCAATCCCTCTGCGCTGTCGCAGCGCGCGCACCTGCGCCGCAATCACGGGCACGTTGTTCTCTTGGATCGCAAGCATGAGCGCTGCGTGCGTGTGCATATGAGAAGATGTGAGTGTATGAGTGCATGAGAGGATGGGGAAGTGTGTGTGTGTGTTTTTGTGTGTTTGTGGTTGTGTGTTTGTGTGTGTGTCAATGGCGGTAGCGAGTGCGGTGCGTGCAATTACTCGTGCCACGTTTCCATGCACACATCATATCCCAACCTGTGGATCCAGTCTCATCCTGAACGTTGATCGTGTTTGGCTCAAACACCTTCATCGCGAATCACGAACCAGCAATGTCAGGATTGAGAGTGAGCAGCAAGCGGCATCTCTTCGTCGCAGCGCGAACGACATATGAAGGGGGATAAAATGGGCACACGAGCGAACACGCACTCGCACATAGCCCACAGCACGCGCACATATGGCCCAGAGCACACGCACACACACGTACGCACACACGCACACGCATGTACGCACGCACCACACCGCAGCACACACTGAACATAGTGCCAACCATAATCTGCTTGCAGCATTTGTCCGACTCGTTCATGGCTGTCCAGTGGAGAACAGTTCGGCCCTGATGGTCGCACGTCATCAAGTCTGCACCCTGCGTTTGCGTCGCGGCATCATGGTATGTGGTGAGAGGTACACACCCACGCACGCACGCAGGCAACGAAAAGATGGCTGTTGTCATCGCAACTCCTCATGATAAGCACACACAGTGGCACACGCACACACGCACACACGCACACACGCACACACGCACACACACACGCACATACACATACACATACACATACACGAACAACACGATGACAACTGACGTTTTCGATGAGGGCGGCAAGGTGCTTATAACGGCCCTGCGATGTGCACCAGTGGGCCGGCGTCAGGCCGTTTGTGTCTGGCAGGTCGATGTTGTCGCGTGACACGGGGATGATGGCTTTGATCACCTTTGACGACTCAGCCTGTGCCGCCAGATGCAGCGGGATGCAGCCAAGCACGTCTTGCACCGTCGCCATCTCAGGCGCCTCCTTCGCCAGTACCTGCACAATCTTGTGGAAGCCCTGTGCGCACGCCCAGTGCAGCGCTGCCCGCCCTTCGCTATCGACAGCTCGCACCTGAAAGGTGGGGAGCAGGGAAAGCAACCATGAACAAGAAAGATTGGCACAGAGAGAGGGGGAAGCGGACTGCGCATGTACGCGCGGGATGCAAACGGAGCAGCTGGGCACGATGGAGAGAGGAAGAGGGCAATACACGCATACGCACGCACACGCAACGCACCACGCATACACCCACGCACATACATCTGAGCCTTGGGCGATGAGGAATTTGACGGCGTTCAAGTGCCCTTGTTGTGTGGCGATGATCTGCAACACGTGAAGTATTTGTGGAGGAAATGTGGGTGAGAATAGATCGACTCAGCGCACGCCTGTTCCCTCCTCACCTGATGGCGCACACTCAGTACCCACAGCATTTGCATGACACTGCGAAGAATACACACCAGTGGCGTCTGGCCCGCTTCGTCTTCTTCGTCAATGCCGAGCCGTCCTGCACACAACGCACAACGCACAACGCACAACGCACAACGCACAACGCACAACGCACAACGCACAACACAACGCACAACGCACAACGCACAACGTACGGTGTGTGCTGGTGAGAAGACGCACGTTGGCACTTAACAAAAATGTGCCACGCTTGATGCTCACGCTTGCCTCTCCCTCCGAACCATGAACACAAACAAGCACGCACACCACCACTTCATGCGCGACGCAAGCGCTCTCTTGTCACATGCATCAAAACAGACGCACTGACCATAGTGGGCGAGGAAGTCGCTCAGCTGCAGCACGTCACCCTGCGCTGCGAGGTCATGCAGCGACTGCTCTGCAGTGGCCATGGCACGGCACGCGTGATGAATGGGGCTATGGAGGAGGTATGGTACAGAGGGTGGTGCTTGCTTGTCTATTTGCTTGGCTGGCTGTTTCCTCAGCTGCCTGCTTGTGTGTGTGTGTGTGTGTGTGTGTGTGTGTGTGTGTGCTTGTTTGACAAGTTCTGTTGTTGTGTTTTGCCCCCTTCTTCTCCTCCTCGCTGCTGCTTGCAGGTTGGTAGGGGCAGGGGTGGCTGTCGAAACTTGACCAAATTTTCCACTGATTCCGGGCACAACCACAACACCGCGTCTATTTGTGGTGTCGCCGGAATTTTTTTGGCGCAACGCAAGTGCTTGTTGTGGATGGTTGCTGCTTGATCAAAGCGCCCATACACAAATACACACGAGACGACAGCAGCGGTGAGGGGAGAGAGAACCGTGTGTGTGTGTGTGTGTGTGTGTGTGTGTGTGTGTGTGTGTGTGTGTGTGTGTGTGTGTGTGTGTGTGTGTGTGTGTGTGTGTGTGTGTGTGTGTGTGTGTGTGTGTGCCGTGTCTCAGTTTCGCTGCCTTGTTGTGTTGTCACGGTTACCATTATCGGTTGGTTGTGATGTTTGTTTATGTGTGGTGTTTGAGAAAATCACATACACACCCCTCTGACGGCTCACGTCTCATACACATGTGCTCATTGGCTGTGCTCTTGCAGGTCTTGTTCTTGCTATGGGCGACCAACAACGGTTTCGCCACATTGGCGATACCACAAAAGCCAAGCCAGTCTTTGGCGAAACAGACTCGATACGCATGGTACGTTTGTGTGATTGTGTGTGATTGTGTGTGATTGCGAGTGATTGGGTGATTGGGTGTGTGTGCGCGCGTATGCATGCATGTGTGTGAGTGATTGTGTGTGTGTGTGTGCGCGCGAGGGCTTGCGTGCACTCTTTGTTTGTGTGTGTGTGAGGACGCGTGCTCTCTCTCTGTGCACGCGCTTTTCCATTCTTGTTTGTGCATCAAGGTTTGACACGCGT